GGAGAAGAGAAGCTGAGAGTCAGGCTGACGGACTGGCTCAGATCCAACAGGAACTCACTCACAGCTCAGACTCCCCCCCCCCCCCACCTCCCTCTCCCCCAAAAATAAATGTCAACACAACAGTTTGAGTGGAGGAGCTGAGAAAGAGAATGAAGGGAGATGGCATAGAGCAGCCATTACTTCACATTGGCCGGCTCGCTCAACAAGGACAACGGCAACAACTTGCATTTACACTGTGCCCTCACGATGGCAGATTCTGACACCGAGCCGGCGGAGTGGGGGGGTCACTGTCACCACGATCAAAAAGGAAGGTCTTCATACGGGAATTCAAAGTGGGGAGGGAGAGGGCAAGCTCAGGGCTGGGGGGGGGGGGGGTGGAGGGTAAACCTCACAAAATACTTTTACATGAAACTCAAATAATTTATAGCATTACAATAATAATCCTTTTACTACCGCAGTTGATCACATCAAAATATCTCACGCTGCTTCACAGGTTTACTGTGAAGCGTAGTACTGTATTTTTGGTGAACACAGCAGCAACTTTGCACACAGCGACAACCCACAAAAACAGCCACAAAGGGAACAATCAGTTATATCTGGGGATTGTTGGCCAGGATACTGAGAGAGAGAGAGAGAGACAGAGAGACAGAGAGAGAAGCTCCAATCTCATCCGAACAACAGCAAATCTGACAAGCCAGCACTGCGCGGGGCGTCAGCCTGGACTGTGAGCTCAGAGCCCCGAGATGGGGCTTGAACCCACAACCTTGCAACTGTGAGCCCAAATATTGACAAACTGAGCCGGCTGGAAGTACATTACCGAGGGTGGCAGCATGAGCTCGTTGGTAGGGGAAGGGAGTGAGGTGAGGCAGGGGAAGATGAGGTGAGTGGAGAATGAGGGGTAGGGAGGAGAAGTGAGCAAAGATTGCCTCTCTCGCTATTGTGTTGTGATCTTTTCCTGAGGTGTGTCTGCACAGTGTTGAGAGGGTTAAACCTCTGCTGCTGGATTCAGATAAGCAGCTGTGAATCAACGCTGCCTTTTAATTAAAAAAATAATCGCAGCAAAAACTAGAAACCACATCCTGGTGTTTGTGCAGAACTACCAACCAGCGGAGAGAGGAGATCTGTGATTCCCGGGGAAAGCCTGAGAGATTTCCTACAAAATATCCTTCTGCTTCCACACAGCTCTCTCCTGCGCTCTGCCTCTGCGCTGTGCACAGCCAGCCCTGCCTCAGTGTTTCCAACCCCCTACCCCCACTGCGCCCCCCCCCCACACACACACTATTCCCTGAGCCAGGGGAATGGAGACCCAGCCACTTCCTCCTGTGCATTGTACCTACGATGCTTCGGTTTGTTTTTCTTTCCTAACATTAACATGGAAAGACCACACAAACCCACAGGGTGAGAGCACTTTCCTGTAACCCTCTCACTCCAGCCAGATAGAGGAAGGGAGGGGGAACTGGGTATTAGCCCGGCTGGTGCTAGAGGCCGCACGGGAATAAAGAAGATGGAGGTGTACAGCAGGGCAAGCATCGCGTGTGGAATGACACACTAACACACTGAGGTGCTCTCTTTACTCACTCTCGCCCCTTCTCTCTCTTTCCCTCCCCTCTCTGATACTCACTCTCTCTTTCCCTGACACGCTCTCTTTCTGACACTCACTCACTTTCTTTTTCTCTCTATCTCTGTCTGATACTCGCTCTTTCTGTTTGAAACTCTTTCTCTGATTCTCTCTCTCTCTGATACTCTCTGCGTGTGTGGATGTGTTTCTATGTATGATTCTTTGACTGTGTGTGTGTGTGTGTGTGAGTACGTGTTTGTGCGTGTATGTATGTGAGTGCGTGTATGTCTGAGTGAGTGAGTGTGTGTGTCTCTCTCTCTCTGGTTCACAGGTTCAGTCTCTGCCTGAGCTCGCTGAGCTCCCAGCTTGCTGAGTGAGTGAGGAGCCGGCTGAGTGTCTGGGCCTGGATGTTGGAGGGATTGTCAGTGGGTTCAGGAGATGGGGAATGCCCACCTGTGGCAGATGGGATTAAAAACTTCAACTCGTGGCACATTCCAGGGATCAGGAACGCCACGGCCCATCATTAATCTACAAGGTGTGCCTTTTCCGCTGGCTCTGTACACACATTCCACTGGCGGCCATGATCCTGCCCGCCTCCAGCCCATTATCTAATAACTGTTCCACATTGCTCACATTCCACCCACTGCCGGCAAACAGGGACCACTGTTTGCTTTGGCACTCATTGCGGTCTCAAAAATACCAGCAACACACAGTCTGCAGACGCTTCTCTTTGTACTCCAGAGACGCCGGCATGGAGGGTTTTATGTCTCCTGTGATCACACATATTCCTCAGCTTCTGCACCATCGCACAGGTCACTCAGTTTCTCCAATGCACTTTTACTGTGTGTCTAACCCGTGCAGTCCCTGACCTGGGAGTGTGGACGCACAGTGTAGAGGAGCTTCACTGTGTCTCTAACCCTGACCTGGGAATGTGGACGCACAGTGTAGAGGAGCTTTACTGTGTCTCTAACCCTGACCTGGGAGTGTGGACGCACAGTGTAGAGGAGCTTCACTGTGTCTCTAACCCTGACCTGGGAATGTGGACGCACAGTGTAGAGGAGCTTTACTGTGTCTCTAACCCTGACCTGGGAGTGTGGACGCACAGTGTAGAGGGAGCTTTACTGTGTCTCTAACCCTGACCTGGGAGTGTGGACGCACAGTGTAGAGGGAGAATTGAGGGAGGGCCTCATTTTCAGAGTTGAGATAGATGATCCAGCTATCTTTGGCAAGCAAGGTTTCCCCCACACACTCCCCACTTCACTGAATTAAACCCAATTACGTTCCTCAAACTGAACTTAGGCCCCCATATTCCCACCCAAACCTGAGTTCCCCAATCATCATGGACCCAATTCCTCTGCGGCCCCCCCAGCTGGACGTCCAGCCCAAGACAAAGCTGTGGGGTCTGGTGTTTGACTGAGGATGGGATTGAGGGAGCAGTTTGCCTGAGGGAATGGGGGGGCTGTGATGGGGTTGGGTTTCTCTGGCTGAGAAAGGCTATTGTTTCTCACTCTCACACTTGCCGCTCACAGCAGAGATGGCAGACAGCTCCTCGGCCACAGGAAACAGGAGGAAACTGGGCACCACCGGAGGGCAGGACAAAGAGCCTCCTCACCAGCAGCCAGCACAGCGAGCGCTTCCCGCCCCGGGGAATGCATAGCTAGAGAGAGACTGCGGCCACTGTAACACACACAGCCCACCCACAAGAGGCAGCTTCCAATGTTCTCCACTTGTGTGGTCAGAAATGATTTAATCCCTTTGCTATGGAGAATCAGATGTCAGTGTTGTCAGACGACACTTGCTTCATGTGATAATAACAAACATTAACCTGTTAAAGATTGAAACTGCATCCATTAAACAATCAGTTTACTGTATTGTGAGGTAAAGTACCATAATCCATGTGGTTCAGCAGGGCTCCCACCCCATCTGAGTGTGTGTGTCTGTGTGGGGAGTGGGGGTGGGGTGGGTGCAGTCACAGGACGTGCAGTCTATTTGGGTGCTGGCTGGGTGCCGCTCCCACACAGTGTATGTTACCCCCCCCCACCCACCGTCACAACCTGACCTGGCTCTGCCACACCCTGGCCTGGCTGCCCCACCCCTATGCAGAGGCCAGGCCTGACTGCTGGTCCCAGAGCCTAGTGGCACCTGGCCAAGGCCATCTATATTCTTTACACTTCAAATGAACTCCACAAGCCTGTGCTGCAGCTGTGGAAAAGGGCTGGGAATTCATCTGGTTCAGGCTATGGGTAAGTCAGGACCTGGAGACTGGAGCCTGGTACTGTCAGCAGCTGTTACCGCACATCCAAGCATTCCCCCCCAACCCCCCCACCCACACACACATACACACACTGGCAATGGGGCAGACCGGTCAGATTAAACAAACTGACAATCAGCCACAAATAGGGACCATTTCTGGGATCTTGGCTCAGAGCCACAGGTATCAAATATGCTGAGAGAATAGACAGGCATTTCACACTTGAGCATCAAGGAACATAAGTCTGCTGATGTTGGGCTGGGGGCACAGAGAGGCCAACACAGCTGGGGATCTGCATCCAGTGAGACTGGTAATGAGGCCATGTGTGGTTAAGCATTCAATTTGGAGCAACATTATTAACCCACATGCAGAGTCACTGCATATCATTGTGTACACACACAACACTCACACCAGCACAGACACGATGGGGAGAGAGAGAGAGAGAGCAGGGAATGGGGTTAGAGTAGAGAGCTCCAGTGGGGGAGCGAGCCCCAGCACAGACACGATGGGGAGAGAGAGAGAGAGAGCAGGGAATGGGGTTAGAGTAGAGAGCTCCAGTGGGGGAGCGAGCCCCAGCACAGACATGATGTGTGAATGGCCTGTCCTGTAAACAAATGGTTTGTATTAAACAAATCATCTGCCATGGGCTCCTTCACTGCCTCACAAGGTAAAAGCACAATGTGGGGCTGTCTCGAGTCATTCATACCAGGAAATCTCAGCCTTGGGCTACAGATCTCCATCAATTCCTCAAAGCTCCTTGAAATTCATCACCTGTTTTTTTTAACTGGCTGTTACCAGATCAGTCACAGATCCACATAGTGAAAAGGTGCTGAAGTAATCCGTGCAGGTTAATGTGAGCAACCTGCACTTTGTTTATGGTATGCACACAGAGCATCACAGTTTTTAAGACAAAACTAGTCAGTGGCCAGCAGATCACGTGATCCCATATATCATAATAATATAATCCTTGCATTTGATATTGCACATGTGATATTAATCACATCTCAAAGCACTTTATATGATGGGAATTCCTACATCTCCCTCTTTATAAAAGAACATAGGATTCTCTCGACTTGGCACAACAACTTGCATTTATGTAGACCCTACAAGGCCTGGCAGACAGCATGCACAGCCTGGTCACTGTGAGTGAGGCATCTCTGCAGGGCACTAGCATAACCATGTCAGTGCGATTCACTGGGTTTGCTCTTGATGAACACAGTGGGGCTGGGCCTTACCTGGAGGCTGTAGACGTGGTCCTGTCTGCTCCACCACAGTTGGGGGTCTGAAGGGCTGTGTGCAAACCCTGGACCGGATCTGAATCATAGCCTGGAGTTCGGGCCGCGGGCACCATTACAACATTGCTGCGGGTCGGTGCTCCATTTGTCAAGTTCATGTTAGATAACTGAGAAAATAAAATCAGGAGAGGCAAGTGAGAGTAGTGGAGTGGAGAGAGAGACAGTCAGAAGTCAGAGACAGGAGACAGACAGACAGACAGACAGACAGACAGAGAGTGGAGACGCAGACAGACAGACAAGACAGACAGAGAGGAGAGACAGACAGGCAGACAAACAGAAAAGAGACAGAGAAAGAGTCCTGTAGCTCAGTAGTTAGAGCACTCGCCTCGAAAACGAGACCTGGGTTCAATTCCCAGCAGGGCGAAATGCTAGGCAAGTTTCATGCCTGATAATAATCCCTCAAGAAGAAAAAACAATAATAGTTTGGTCACTCGATCCATGACTGTTTAAACGTGTGATGCTGCTGTGTGCAATTGGCTGGCACATTTTGCCCACAAAATATAGTCAATTCACTTTACAGTATATTCTCTGAAGCGCTTTGAGACATCTAGAAGACATGATAAGCCGCTGTATCAAATGCAAGGATTATTATATACTATTATAAAGAAAGAGAGAGAGAGAGAGGAGAGAGTCAGAGAGAGAGGAGAAAGAGACAGACAGACAGACAGACAGAGAGGGAAAGAGATAGGAGAGAGACAGGGAAAAAGACAGAGAGAGTGAAGAGAGAAGAGAAAGATTACAACCCACAAGCAGAATAGACAAATACAGAGGCCACACACGACAGCAATTGGCGGTGGGCACGCTGAGGTTCTGACGCTGTCAGCACGGTATCAAACACAAGGATTATTGTTGTTGTTGTGGTTGTTAATGTGGAAGCTGTGTTTCCGAGGATCTTAGAAAGAAAGTTTCTAAACAAGGCCTGAATTTTGCACAATTCTGAGAAATGTGAAATCCTCAGACAGGCTGAGTGAGACAAGGGCAGGATGGTGGATAAGATTGCTGAAGTGAGAGTGAATAAATGACATCCTGCCGCCAGCACCCACTGAGCTACGTTCTAGTAGTTCCACACGCCTTTCCCATTCGTGACAATTGTGTCAGGACCTCACCCGCAGAAACACTCGCACACTATACATCTTTATGGTTACGATTACGGGAACTCCCTCCTCATTGGCCTTCCCAACTCCTCCCTTCACAAGCTGCAGATCATCAAAACTCTGCAGCTCGTGTGCTCTCACGCACCAGACTCCGTGACCCCATCACCCCCACCCTCGCCCGACTCCACCGGCTCCCCATCCCCCAGAGGATCGAGTTCAAGATCCTCGTCCTCACCTTTAAAGCCACCCATGGCCTCGCCCCCTCCTACCTCTCTGACCTGCTGACTCCCTACCAACCTGCCCACTCCCACCATTCAGCGGCTCCGGCTGCTCCATATCTCCCACCCGACCCGCCCTACCATCGGTGGCCGGGCTTTCAGCCTCTCTGCCCCTATGCTCTGGAATTCCATCCCACGGTCCCTTCGCCTCGCTTCCTCCCTCGCCTCCTTCAAGGCCGGTCTCAAGACCCTTCTCTTCGACCGTGCCTTTGGTCTCTCTCCCACCTCTCTGCCTTTCCTCACCCCTATATCACCCCTCCCCACGCTCAGGCTCCGACACCTGACTTGTTCAGCGCTTTGGGACGTCCTCCCAACGTGAAAGGCGCTCTATAGATGTAATTTTGTTGTTGCTGTTGTACACCTCAATAAAAGGGACACAGGGAGATTGTTCAGGCCTGCCTCATTCAGGCTCACAATCTCCAATCCTAACTTGGCAAATAAAAAGCCATCCCTGTGGGGAGATGGCAACTGGAGAAGGCGTTTCTCATAAAGGAAAGTTGGTTTCTCCTTATCTATTCTTATCAAAATCCCTCATAATTTTAGACACCTCTATTAAATCTCCCTTTAATCTTCTCTGCTCTAAGGAGAACAAGCCCAGCTTCTCTAGTCTCTCCACATAACTAAAGTCCCTGATTCCTGGTAACATTCTGCTTAAACACCTCTGCACCCTCTCCAAGGCCTAAACATCCTTCCTAAAGTGTGGTGCCCAGAATTGGACACAATATTCCAGCTGAGGCCTAACCAGTGACTTATAAAGGTTCAGCAGAACTTCCTTGCTTTTGTACTCTATGCCTCTATTATAAAGCCAAGGATCCCATATGCTTTTTTTTAATCCATCCCTGTTTGAATATTAATAGGAATAGACTTCCCCTTTAACATCCCATCTACAGACACGGGACAATCACAGTGCACTTCCCTTTTCATAGATCACCCAGACATACAGGAGTCCCATTACAGTACACTTCACCTTTAACAAATTACCTACAGACATCATAGAATCATACAGCACAGAACGAGGTCATTCGGTCCAACGTGTCTGTGCCGGGTAGGGTGGTCCTAGCTGGATATTTTTCTCCATTAAACTTCGTCTGCCACGTGTCGCCTCCCAGCTGCGCTCTTTCCTCTCCACCCATGCATTATTCAAACCCCTTCAGTCGGGTTTCCGTGCTGCCCATAGCACAGAAACCGCCCTGGTCAAGGTCACCAGTGACATCTTGACCATCTGCGACCAGGGCTCCCTCTACCTCCTCGACCTATCGTCAGCATTCGATACGGTCGACCACTCTATCCTCCTCCACCGCTTGACCTCCCACCTCAACCTTCAAGGCCCTGTCCTTGAGTGGTTTAGGTCGTACCTCTACCACCGTCTTCATTTTGTTTCCACAAACGGCTTTTCCTCCACCCCCCGCACTGTCTCATGCGGTGTCCCTCAGGGCTCTGTCCTCAGTCCCCTCCTCTTCACCCTCTATACACTCCCCCTGTGGTGACATCATCCGCAGACATAGGGTTAACTCCCACATGTATGCAGATGACACCCAACTCTACCTTTCCTCCTCTACCCTCAACTCCATGACCCCCGATGTCCTGACAGCTGTCTGTCCGACATCGAGTCCTGGACGAGAGACAACTTTCTTCAGCTCAACGTGCGTAATACTGAGGCCCTCCTGATTGGCTCACGTCAGCGCCTCCGCATCTCAGGCGCTGACACCATCAGCATCCAAGGCCGCACTCTCCACCTCTCAAAGCCATCAGGAACCTCGGCGTTCTGTTCGACCCTGAGCTGTCCTTTCTCCCTCATATCCGCACCACAACCGGCACTGCCTTCCATCACCTCCGGAACATCGCCGGACTACGGCACTACCTCACCCCTCACGCGGCTGAAACACTGGTTCACGCCTTTATCACCTCAAGGCTGGACTATGGGAACTCTCTCCTCGTCGGCCTTCCCGGCCCTCCCTCCACACTGCAGGTCATTCAGAACTCTGCAGCTCGTGTACTGTCCCGCACCAGACACCGCGAACACATCACTCCCACCCTCGCCCTCGCCCTCGCCCTCACCCTCGCCCTCACCCTCACCATCGCTCGCCTCCACTGGCTCATCATCCCCCAGAGGATCGAATTCAAGATCTTCATCCTCACCTACAAGGCCATTCACGGCCTCGCTCCCTCCTACCTCTCCGACCTACTATCTCCCCATGTACCTGCCCGTACCCTCCGTTCTTCTGGCTCCCGTCTGCTCCACATCCCCCGCCCCAACCGCCCGACCATCGGTGGCCGGGCCTTCAGCCTCTCAGCCCCGAGGCTCTAGAACTCCATCCCCCAGTGCCTTTGTCTTACTTCCTCCCTTTCCTCCTTCAAGGCCGGTCTCAAGGCCTTTCTCTTTGACTGTGCCTTCAGCTCCCCTCTCGACTCTCTTCCCCCTCCTCGCTCCCTCCCTTCCCTCCCCTCACCCTGACCATTTCCCCCCTCCTCGCTCCCTCCCTTCCCTCCCCTCACCCTGACCATTTCCCCCCAATGCTCGGGTCCTGACCCAACTGTCCAGCGCCTTGGGACGTCCTCCCGACATGAAAGGCGCTCTATAAATGGAATCTTGTTGTTGTTGTCTGCCCATGTTACCAGTCTGTTTATGTCCATTTGCCGTCTGCTACTATCCTCCTCACTGTTTACTACTTTCCTCGCTTAGTATCATCTGCAAACCTGGAAATTGTCCTCCCTGTACCCAAGTCCAGGTCATTTATATAGATCAAGAACAGCAGTGGCCCCAATACTGATCCCTGGGGGACACCGCTGCACACTTCCCGCCAGTCAGGAAAACAAACGTTCACCACCACTCTCTGCTTTCTGTCTCCCAGACAGTTCTGTATCCACTGCCACTGTCCCTTTAATACCGGGGGCTTCTATTTTGCTGACAAGTTTCTTATGTGGCACTTTATCAAATGCCTTTTGAAAATCCATATAAACTACATCAACTGCACTATCTTCATCCACCCTCTCCGTTACTTCATCAAAAAGGGGCAATCCTAGTGCACTTCCCCTTTAATGTCAGGTGACGTGGCTTTACTTTATTTTTAAATAGTTTCCACAGTAGTGAAAGGAAATTGTGCTCTCTGGCAATGTTGTGGTGGTTAGGAATTCTATTACACCCCATTGAGATTGGGTTTCCGCTCGGAATCCACGCACTGCCGAGGCTGCACATACCTCACATACACAGCAGCACTCGGAGTGAACATGAGCTGTCTGTGCGGCCAACCCAGTTAATGGGCAAAAACCAGCTCTTATTTATATAACTGATCATGTTCCCCTTTTCCTGTACATGAAAACATCTCATGTACAAGGTTTTGTATCAGCCAGCGACGCCAGGCGTTCAGACTGTGTGAGACTTGGTGACCAGCAATGTCCTTGACCCTCTCCAACTGACACAACTTTGACCTATTCCCTGAGAAATCCACTCTGCTGCTTTGGCCTCTCAACTAGAGAGAAACAGCAGAGCAGAGAGCTCTCTCTCCTGTGTTTGCTCTACACTGGGTGTAAAGGTAGCCTATTCACCCACGAAGTACACATCATCACACCACTTTACAGTACATCCTGTGAAGCGCTTTGATATATCAAAGGTAAGGATTATTATTCTATAAAAGTCAGTAAACAGAATGTGCGGCAGCCATAATTGACACTTCTGCCATGCAGTGCCACTCAGACAAGAGAGTGGGTCTGCTGCCAGTGTGCCTCGGCTCTTACCTCAGGCAGTAATGCCACACTCATTAACCCTGCAGCCAAAGCCCTAATGGGAAGGGTAATCCTAGCTGGACAAGCAGTGGGAAAGCTTGCCAGACCATGATATCAATGGCAAGCTATACAGTTTTAGCTGGCTAAACTCCAGCAATTCCCCAACATACACTCTGGGGTCCCCCAAGCCTTGGCTATTGCCAACCTACGCCTAATAAGCTCTGGAATTAGGTAAACAGGATGTGTCCCTCCAGGGAGAGAGAGAGAGACCGCATTCCATTCTAATAATCTATCTCTGGGATTGACGTGTGTAGGTGCGATACATGGAATTCTCAGTTTGGTTTGTTGACTTTTAAGCATGGTGTTGGTTTCCGTGGGTGTCAGACACCCGGCTGGGCCCAAAACAACAATTTACATTTCTATAGCCCTTCACATCGTGGGGCATCTCGAGCACAAATGAGGTGGGGGGAGGGGGTCAGTCAGTCTGAGCCACGTGTTATGGTGACTGAACTGCAGCTCATGCACGAGCTACTCAGTGCTATTCTCATGTTGTATTATGATCTACATTCCATGCAGTTGTGGAACAACAACAAATTACATTTGTATAGCGCCGTTCACGTTGGGAGGATGTCCCAAGGAGCCGAACAATGAAACAATGAAAGCACCATCACATTGTCAGAGTAAGTACATGAAACTTCACAAATGCAACTAATTTACCCAAAATAGCCTCCAGGGTGGCAGACCGCAGGCAGTCTGTCCCACTCTAAAATTAACACCGCTGGAACGCAGGCTCTGGTTATAATTAATCCCAGCCCCATCACAACACCAGGTGCAGCTGTAGTGCCGGCTTCCCCTCTCTGTGCACAGTCACCAGCCAGGCCAGGCACAGCGGCGAGACCTCAACAACAAGACAGTCAGTAGGGGGGGGGGTAGAAGAGTGGTCTCTTCCCAGTCAGTGCAGAGGAGTGGGCAGAGGGTAGTCCCTGAGCACCGTCAGTGGGGGGGGGGGGAGATTACAACCTTAAAGACAAAGCAAGGTAAAATATAAATAATTACACAAGAAGAACCCGACTACCAAACTCTTCATAGGCCAATGGGATCTCCATTAGCCAGTGAGCCACAGCCAGGAACCTGATCTGGTGGTTCTCAGTCATTAGATGCTCTTGTGTGGTCTTTACTCCACTCCCTGGCTCAGTTCCCAGGATCACTGTTTAGCTCCAGCACAGACCTGAGATGGGGAGGGGAGTGGGGTGAGGTCCATGCCTCCTACCTTGACTAATTTGCAGCTCAGTTGTAGGAATTACTGCGCACACCACAACTCAGATACAGATACAGGCCAGACAGGAGGGGGAGGAGACCCCACGCAGGCAGTTTGCTGACCTACAGTACCATGTACACCAGAGCATTTGAAAGATCAGTCCACAATTTATCATTTTACGCAGTGTTTTTTTTCCCACAGAAACTGAGAAATGATTTCTCCCACAAGGAGACTAGCTGGGAATGGCATCCGCTAGTCTGAACTCACGTCACTGGTGTTTGAAGCCAAATTCAACCCAAGGATAATAATAATAATCCTTGCATTTGATATAGAGCCTTATCACGTCTGCGAGCCGTCTCAAAGCGCTTCACAGAATATACTATAAAGTGAATTAACTGTATATTTTGTGGGCAAAATGTAGCAGCCAATTGTGCACAGCAGCGTTCCACAAATAGTCATGGATTGAGTGACCACATTTTTTAGGAAAATTATTACCCCTGGAAAGTGATTCGCCAATCGATTTACCACCGGGTTCCTACTTACTGTTAGGTAAACAGACGTGTGTGGAGTATGGAAACTTGCCTAAGGTTTCACCCTGCCCAGGAATCAAAACCAGGTCCTCTCGCTTGCGAGGTGAGTGCTCTAACCACTTTACAGGACTTCACTAATTAATAACTAATAACTTTAAATCTGCAAATGTGGCAATGTTAACGCAGTGACTGGCGAGCAGTAAGACAATGGATGGCACGGCCTCTCACATCCACCACTCAGAGAGCCCACAATGGCCACGCAAGAGGCCAGTTGTAAACTCCTGGGAATTCAACACAGCCTCTCAATTTACACCACAGCAGCTGCCAAATAATCCCAGAGCAAGCGTGTCTGCCGCCCACCCGCCCCTGGCCGGGAGGAACAAACAATAAAAGACCAACTGTGCTTTCAATGTGAGCTGCTGGACTGAAACTAAACTCAGCCAAGTGTCAGCCTAAGTATCCTGAACTCAGGCAGAGAACAGATCAAAACCAGCTTCACATCTTACTCGGGAGAAAGAGAGAGAACAGAGTGAGAAAGAGAACAGAGTGTGAGAGAGAGAAGACAGTAAGAGTGAGAGAGATAAAGAGGACAGAGAGAGATTTAGAGAGGACAGAGTGATAGAGAGAGAGAAAGAAAGAACGATAGAGTACAGAGTGTGTGAGAGAGAGAGCAAGAGAGAGAGGACAGAGAGAGTGAGAGGACAGAGTGAGAGAGAGAACAGTAAGAGTGAGAGAGATAGAGAGATAGAGAGAGGACAGAGAGAGTGAGAGAGGACAGTGAGAGAGAGAAGATAGTGAGAGTGAGAGAGAGAGAGAGAGAGAGAGAGGACAGAGAGAGTGAGAGAGGACAGAGTGAGAGAGAGAGGACAGAGTGAGAGAGAGAAGATAGTGAGAGAGAGAGCGCGAGCTGCTGACAGACTGAATAAATTACTCACATGCTGGGTGAGGAGAGTGACATGGCTGGAGGGTGCGTATTGACGTGCTGCCTGTTTCTCTGTGAGGCGACGCAGTGCCGAGGAGATGGCCTCGTTGTTAATCTCTCGGCAGTGAGTGGGTCGGTGGTCACCCTCACCAAACAGGCCAGCTGAGCCTGGGCGCTGTCTCTGGGGATACCACTCACCCAATCCTGGCAACATGGAGAGAACAGTCAAACAGCAACACAGTGTAGAGCAGGAATTACATTCGCACTTTATTGGGAGGGAAACAGCCTGCAGCGGGCAGGGCAGAGGGGCAAGGGCAGGGCGGGGGATGGCAGAGACAGGGCAGCAGGGCAGGGAATGGCAGGGGCAGGGCAGGGGATGGCAGGGGCAGGGCAGCAGGGCAGGGAATGGCAGAGGCAGGGCGGGGGATGGCAAGGGAGCAGGGTGGGGGATGGCCAGGGCAGGGTGGGGGATGGCAGGGCAGCAGGGCAGGGAATGGCAGGGGCAGGGCAGGAGATGGCAAGGGAGCAGGGTGGGGGATGGCCAGGACAGGGCGGGGGATGGCAGAGACAGGGCAGCAGGGCAGGGAATTGCAGGGGCAGAGGACGGCAGGGGCAGGGCGGGGGACGGCAAGGGGCAGGGCGGGGGACGGCAAGGGAGCAGGGTGGGGGACGGCAGGGGAGCAGGGTAAGGGATGGCCGGGGCAGGGTGGGGGATGGCCGGGGCAGGGTGGGGGATGGCCGGGGCAGGGTGGGGGATGGCCGGGGGGCAGGGTGGGGGATGGCCGGGCTGGGCGGGGATGGTTGCGGCAGGGCGGGGGATGGTTGCGGCAGGGCGGAGGATGGCAGGGGAGCAGGGCAGGGGATGGCAGGGGAGCAGGGCAGGGGATGGCAGGGGAGCAGGGCAGGGGATGGCAGGGGAGCAGGGCAGGGGATGGCAGGGGAGCAGGGCAGGGGATGGCAGGGGAGCAGGGGGGATGGCAGGGGAGCAGGGCAGGGGATGGCAGGGGAGCAGGGCAGGGGATGGCAGGGGAGCAGGGCAGGGGATGGCAGGGGAGCATGGCAGGGGGGCAGGGCAGGGGATGGCAGCAGCAGGGCAGGGGATGGCAGCAGCAGGGCAGGGGATGGCAGCAGCAGGGCAGGGGATGGCAGCAGGGCAGGGGATGGCAGCAGCAGGGCAGGGGATGGCAGCAGCAGCGCAGGGGCAGGGTAGGGGGTGACAGGGGATGGCAGGGGAGCAGGGTGGGGGAGGTCCCAGTGCGGTGGGGGGAGGGGGGATGGTTACATGGATTCAGAGACAGACCGAAGAGAAAATGTCAGGATAAAACTAATCACACACTCACCGACGATGGCAGAGATGGGCCGGGAATACTTCTGGTCATAAATGGGAGCTGCTGCCTGTAAGGAGGAGCTGGGAACTTCGGGGTAATGGCTGCCGGTCCTGAGGTACTGGGTAGTGTCGTGGATCTGTGTTGGATGAGAAGGTGAGGTAGTGGAGCCTGGCCTACCGGCCAGAGAGGTAGCCCTGGCCCCAGCCACAAAACCTTGGGAGGGGTTGGAATTTAGGAACGTCATCTGGTCGAGTATTGGTGCCACGGAGGGCAACTGGTGGAGGGTCTCTGCCCGGTCCAGGGCTGTGGAGGGAAGGTACACGTGCTGGCTAGAGTTCAGGCGGATACACTTTATTAGGGAGCTGTGTGCAGGGAGATCCTCCACATTGACTGACCAATTCGACACCTTTGATTGTCCCTGCTTTGGCCCTGGATAATCTGAGGAATGGACAGATTACACTCAGCCTTACATTAACACCACAATATAAAATGACAGGAGAGAGCAGGGAATGGGATTAGAGTAGAGAGCTCCAGCACAGACACGATGGGGAGAGAGAGAGAGAGCAGGGAATGAGGTTAGAGCAGAGAGCTCCAGTTGGGGAGCGAGCCCCAGCACAGACACGATGGGGAGAGAGAGAGCAGGGAATGGGGTTAGAGTAGAGAGCTCCAGTGGGGTACCAGCATCAGCAGACATGATGCTGTAATTTACAGTGCTATCCTCACCCTGTGGGTTACTGCCTTCACAAAGTTGGCTCCTGCTCTCTGGCCTCTCCTCCTTCACTTGGCTCCCCAGGAAGACGCTGGCTGATTTGGTCCTGCGTGTGTAGAAAGTCAGCACTTCCTCCAGATCACTCTCACTGCAAGTACAAACAGCTCAGTAAGCGAAAGGCACATCTGTGAGAACCACACATTGCCCTTGTGTTCACAGTCACCCACAATATCCTGCACACAGTCTTCAAACTTCCTCAGAGCAGAACCCACATCCCAGCTGCCTGTTCAAGTGGATGTTAAAGATCCGGTAACTCTATTGGAAAATACAAGGGAGTTTCCCTCCGGGATGCTACTCAGCATGAAAGGCGCTATATAAATACAAGTTGTTGTTAACCTGGCTATCCGTCCCCCAGCCTTTCACTTCAAATCTGGTCATAATAATAATAATCCTTGCGTTTGATATAACGCCTTATCACATCTTCGAGACGTTTCAAAGCACTTCACAGAATATACTGTAAAGTGAACTGACTATATTTTGTGGGCTACATACATATGGTATGGGACTTTGACATACACAAAATGGTTGTTGTTTTTGCTTAAACAATACAGTCTACAGCAGACAGAAATTACTGTTTCAGACATTTGTACACAATAAGGCACTAAAAATGTTTTCTCTCTAACAGTCTAATGTAAGCGTTGTCCTGGCCTGGGCCAGCTCATGTTCCCTGTGGATCAGTCTGTCAGAGTGGCCCCGGACAAGATACCTGAAATCAAACAAAGCAGCCACGCTTGGTAGGATTCAGGATTTGCTGGTTTATCCAGCAAGTGGCTGAGCCTTGGCCAAACTACAGTGAGCAGGAAACAAGCTGAGAAATTACATTGCTCTCAATCAGAAACGAGCCCTGTCGTCCTGCCCCCCCCACCCCCCACCCTCCCGAAGAATAGCACAAACATCTGCTAACGACAGGAGCCAGGCAAGCAACGTGCCAATGGCTCTGTGACACAGGCCGAGGACGCTTGACCCACTATTGGGTACATGGAGGTGAAGATCAGCAAACACAGTGGCTGTGGACTGTGATGCTCCACTCCAGCTCTAACCCCAGCATCTTGCCAAACTCACAACAACACCAGCTGGCTTTGGTTTCTGCTAAAGCTCTGAAGTCATGCATTTCTCCCAATCTCTGCCTAAATCCTCTTCAAAAAGAAATTCCTTGGAAGCGAGTCTCGGGAGTTAGCTCACTTTGTGCTCAGAGAAACAGAAGCCCATGACATCAGCAAGAGAAGATGCAGAGGCTTGAGTGCTCGAGCCGAGAGGCTGTGAATCATGAAGATATAATCTTTTCCACTGATTTTCTGACCAAACGTAATGGATTTTCCATCTCTCTCTCTCACCTGGCTTCACTAACAAATGCTTGGAATTCCTCCTGCTGGACGCAATTCTCCTGCTTCAGCTCCATCTGGCTTCTCTGAACCATTTGGTCAGTCTCCTGCAGTCAACATTAACAAGAGGTACAGTGAGCTCTCAGTTCTAGCACAGGCACCTATCTCTCAGCATCCAGCCTCTAGGGGACTTACTAGTACAATTTGTTGCTATTTCTGCTCTGAAGCTTTTAGGTCGTACCTTTCTCACCGTCTTCACTTTGTCTCGACGAATGGCTTCTCCTCCACCCCCCGCACTGTCTCATGTGGAGTCCCTCAGGGCTCTGTCCTCGGTCCCCTCCTCTTCACCCACTACATGCTCCCCCTTGGTGACATCATCCGCAGACATGGAGTTAACTTCCACATGTATGCGGATGACACCCAACTCTACCTTTCCTCCTCTACTCTCAACTCCACGACCACCGATGTCCTGACAGCTGCCTGTCCGACATCGAGTCCTGGACGAGAGACAACTTTCTTCAGCTCAACGTGCGAAAAACCGAGGCCCTCCTGATTGGCTCACGTCAGCGCCTCCGCACCTCAGGTGCTGACACCATCAGCATCCAAGGCTGCACTCTCCACCTCCCAAAGCCATCAGGAACCTCGGGGTTCCCCTCGACCCTGAGCTGTCCTTTCTCCCTCACATCCGCACCACAACTGGCACCGCCTTCCATCACCTCCGGAACATCGCCAGACTACGCCATTACCTCACCCCTCACGCGGCTGAAACCCTGGTCCACGCCTTTGTCACCTCAAGGCTGGACTATGAGAACTCTCTCCTCGCCAGCCTTCCCGCCACCTCCCTCCACACTGCAGGTCATTCAGAACTCTGCAGCTCGTGTACTGTCCCACACCAGACACCGCGACCACATCACTCCCACCCTCGCTCGCCTCCACTGGCTCCCCATCCCCCAGAGGATTGATTTCAAGATCCTCATCCTCATCTAAAAGGCCATTCACGGACTTGCTCCCTCCTACCTCTCCAACCTACTATCCCCCTACCTACCTGCCCGTACCCTCCGTTCCTCTGGCTCCGGTCTGCTCCACGTCCCCCGCCCCAATCGCCCTACCATTGGTGGTCGGGCCTTCAGCCTCTCAGCCCCGAGGCTCTGGAACTCCATCCCCCAGTGCCTTCGCCGCCTCCTCCCTTTCCTCCTTCAAGGCCGGTCTCAAAACCTTTCTCTTTGACCGAGCCTTCAGCTCCCCTCTCGACTCTCTTCGAGCCTTCAGCTCCCCTCTCGACTTTCTCGCTCCCTCCCTTCCCTCCCCTCACCCTGACCATTTCCCCCCTGCTCGGGTCATGACCCAACTGTGCAGCGCCTTGGGACGTCCTCCTGACGTGAAAGGCGCTTTATAAATGGAATCTTGTTGTTGTTGTTGAAGCTGTCTTTCGCCCCTCACTGTGCCCTTATCCACGCGACAAAAATGTTCCCTCCCACCCCCGCCTCCCCAAAACCTCTTGGAGATGGTCACTGGGGGAGAATTTGCTCCACTTCAAGAGTTTAAACTAACTTGTAATTATACTGAGGCACAGTTGGAGCTTCACACAGCTCCTGCTCTCGGGTACCTTGTTATAGCAGTGGATGAAGTCTGCCAGCTGCTGGGCCAGGATGTATCTGCGCTCGGAGACAGGCAGGCGCTGGCTGGGGAAGATCACCTTGATGGTGTGATGGAGATTGCTGGCTGCTCGCTTCAAAAAGCGAATCACCAGCTCCTGTGGAGAAAACAAATCCATCTTACACCTGCACTCAACTGCTGAGAACATAAGGCTGCCCGACCCCAGCCCCCAGGTGGACTGCCCGCCTGCCCCACACCCTGCCCTGCCCACCTCCACCCACCATCCCCCCCCCCAACCCCCTGATCCTGGATGCCTGATCGAAAGAGGGGGTTTCCTGCCAGTCATTTAACATATTGTGAAGTGATGGTTGAGTTTGCGATTACCATTTGCTCATCCTCCTGCCCTGAGGGGGGAGCCTTGCTGTCCTTGGCCAAGCGCAGCTGGACACGGCGTAAGTAAGCGGAGAAGGCCAGCCTAGCCTGTACCTTGCTGTGGAAACAAACATACACAAAGCTCAGGTCGGATCAGGAATCACTTCACACCAAGAAAGGGAATGGCCATTGCCCAGGCTCAGCACCAACCTCAGACTGCGATCTTTCTGTAACCTCTCCAGGAGCTTGGGTTGGCTTCGGCTGGGTTCCTGCTGCTTGGCCTGTGTCCATGCCTGCTCTCCAACCGCCTGGCCCAGATTGGACAGTGTCAGCCTGACCGTCTTGCTACCCCCGAGTGGCTGCAGAGCTGCGAGGCCACAAACCTCCGCCTCCTCCGCAGATGATTCCTCATCTTCCTCGTTCTCCTCCACATCCCACTCCACTCCAGCCCGAGGAGACTTCTTCAGGATTCTAGAAGCTTCTGCAATACATATGGTGCAGAAAAGAGAGAGAATGGGGATGTTTGTATTAAATTCCAACGTTTCTGGTAAATCTCCTCAATGCCACCAGCTGTGATGTCTGACCTGTGAGTTTTTGTGATGGGAAATATTTCTGTCTCCTCCTCCTCCTCCTCCTGTCATCCAGTGACAGCAGCTTCCTCTCGTACTGAACCGCGTGCTTCCAACTGTCCACACCCAGCACATCCAGCGCTGACTCTGTTCCACTGCTTCTTACAGAGAAGAGAGTGGAAGTGAGAGGAGTGGAAGAGAAGGGTTGGAGGAGAGGAGGTGGGGGAGAGTAGAGGGGAGGAGAGGGGAGAGGAGAGAAGGGAGGAGGATGGAGGGGAGGGGGAGTGGAGGGGGAGGAGAGGGAAGAGGGGAGGAGAGGAGAAAATGAAAGGAAGGAGGAAGGAGAGAAGAGGGGAAGGGTAGGGTAGGAGACATTATTTATAAAGATGATGCCCCCAAAATCATGAACCTTTACAGCACAGAAAGAGACCATTTGACCTATCACAACTGTGCCTGCCACCTGAAAGAGCTCTCAATTATACAGGAATGTACAGGAATGAACTCTTTGCTGATGTGAGACATGACATAAGGAATAGTTCTGGCCTGACATGTAGTTTCTCAGCTTAGGGTTGGATCCGGCTACCTCAGTCTCCCTGGGCCTGTCATTAGCGTGTTAGTGTTGGTACAGTCCCCAAAGTCACACGCATATCAGGAGCAACATCATCAGTACCACATAAACTTTACACCTACAAACAGTACATGGACACTCATTAAACAGACCGACACTTTGGAACTCCATTCCACAGTCCCTTCGCTTTGCTCCCCTCCCTTGCCTCCTCCAAGGCCCATTTCAAGACCCTCCTCTTTGACTGCGCCTTTGGTCACCCTCCTCCCTCCCTCCTGATCCCATCCCCCAGCTTGGGTCCGAATCCCTGACAGTCCAGCGCCTTGGGATATCCTCCTGACGTGAAAGGCGCTATATACATGTAATTTGTTGTTGTTGACATCAGTGCTGAGGGCGCTGCTGGAGGTGCCATCCTTTGGATCCTGCGGACAGGACTGAGGTGTCCAGGTGAACATTTATCAGAAAGTGTAGAGGCAGCTTTACTTTATCTCCAAGCCAGGCTGTCTCTGACCTGGGAGTGTGGATCTCGAACTGATGCTGTTGCTAATTGAAGCCATTGGTCTTTGTGGAGCACAGAAGCAAGTGCGGACTGGATGGCGTCTAACAGGGCGGTATGGGTTAGACAGTGTGGGGTTCTCTCTGTACAGGGCGGTGTGGGTTAGACAGTGTGGGGTTCTCTCTGTACAGGGTGGTGTGGATTAGACAGTGTGGGATGCTCTCTGTACAGGGTGGTGTGGGTTAGACAGTGTGGGATGCTCTCTGTTCAGGGCGGTGTAAGTTAGACAGTGTGGGATGCTCTCTGTACAGGGTGGTGTGGATTAGACAGTGTGGGATGCTCTCTGTACAGGTCGGTGTGGGTTAGACAGTGTGGGTGCTCTCTGTACAGGGCGGTGTGGGTTAGACAGTGTGGGTGCTCTCTGTACAGGGCGGTGTAAGTTAGACAGTGTGGGATGCTCTCTGTACAGGGTGGTGTGGTTAGACAGTGTGGGATGCTCTCTGTACAGGGTGGTGTGATTAGACAGTGTGGGATGCTCTCTGTACAGGGTGGTGTGGATTAGACAGTGTGGGATGCTCTCTGTACAGGGCGGTGTAAGTTAGACAGTGTGGGTGCTCTCTGTACAGGGCGGTGTAAGTTAGACAGTGTGGGATGCTCTCTGTACAGGGTGGTGTGGGTTAGACAGTGTGGGATGCTCTCTGTACAGGGTGGTGTGGATTAGACAGTGTGGGATGCTCTCTGTACAGGGTGGTGTGGATTAGACAGTGTGGGATGCTCTCTGTACAGGGCGGTGTGGGTTAGACAGTGTGGGGTTCTCTCTGTACAGGGCGGTGTGGGTTAGACAGTGTGGGGTTCTCTCTGTACAGGGCGGTGTGGGTTAGACAGTGTGGGTGCTCTCTGTACAGGGCGGTGTGAGTTAGACAGTGTGGGATGCTCTCTGTACAGGGCGGTGTGGGACTAGACAGTGTGGGATGCTCTCTGTTCAGGGTGGTGTAAGTTAGACAGTGTGGGATGCTCTCTGTACAGGGCGGTGTGGGTTAGACAGTGTGGGGTTCTCTCTGTACAGGGTGGTGTGGATTAGACAGTGTGGGATGCTCTCTGTACAGGGCGGTGTAAGTTAGACAGTGTGGGGTTCTCTCTGTACAGGGTGGTGTGAGTTAGACAGTGTGGGTGCTCTCTGTACAGGGCGGTGTAAGTTAGACAGTGTGGGATGCTCTCTGTACAGGGCGGTGTAAGTTAGACAGTGTGGGATGCTCTCTGTACAGGGCGGTGTAAGTTAGACAGTGTGGGATGCTCTCTGTACAGGGCGGTGTGGGTTAGACAGTGTGGGGTTCTCTCTGTACAGGGTGGTGTGGATTAGACAGTATGGGATGCTCTCTGTACAGGGCGGTGTGGGTTAGACAGTGTGGGTGCTCTCTGTACAGGGCGGTGTGAGTTAGACAGTGTGGGTGCTCTCTGTTCAGGGCGGTGTGGGTTAGACAGTGTGGGGTTCTCTCTGTACAGGGTGGTGTGGATTAGACAGTGTGGGTGCTCTCTGTACAGGGCGGTGTGGGTTAGACAGTGTGGGTGCTCTCTGTACAGGGCGGTGTGGGTTAGACAGTGTGGGTGCTCTCTGTACAGGGCGGTGTGAGTTAGACAGTGTGGGTGCTCTCTGTACAGGGCGGTGTGAGTTAGACAGTGTGGGTGCTCTCTGTACAGGGCGGTGTGAGTTAGACAGTATGGGATGCTCTCTGTACAGGGCGGTGTGAGTTAGACAGTGTGGGTGCTCTCTGTTCAGGGCGGTGTGGGTTAGACAGTGTGGGGTTCTCTCTGTACAGGGTGGTGTGGATTAGACAGTGTGGGTGCTCTCTGTACAGGGCGGTGTGGGTTAGACAGTGTGGGTGCTCTCTGTACAGGGCGGTGTGAGTTAGACAGTGTGGGTGCTCTCTGTACAGGGCGGTGTGAGTTAGACAGTGTGGGTGCTCTCTGTTCAGGGCGGTGTGGGTTAGACAGTGTGGGGTTCTCTCTGTACAGGGTGGTGTGGATTAGACAGTGTGGGTGCTCTCTGTACAGGGCGGTGTGGGTTAGACAGTGCGGGTGCTCTCTGTACAGGGCGGTGTGGGTTAGACAGTGTGGGTGCTCTCTGTACAGGGCGGTGTGGGTTAGACAGTGATGGTGCTCTACTCACCGTGCTCTGGCTGATACAACCTGCTTCATCACCCTGAAACAAGAGCGCTAACATCAGCAACAGGCACACAGACTAGACTCTCTCCACCCCCACACTGCCCTGTACAGAGCATCCCCCATACCACCACTGTGAGCGGTGTATATGGAGGCACATTCTCACTGAAAGCTTCCATGTAGATGGAGCCAGAGTGGGGAAAACTCATTCTCTGTATGCAGATGCTCGTGCTGTCAGTCTAAGGTCTGCTCAAGGCTACACTGAGGCAGTTTAGGAGATAATAAGTGCTTTGCCTGGGTATTCCCCGAACAGCGGCCTTTCCCTTTCACCCCAATGTGCCTAACACTACTCTCTGCACAGCCGAGAATTACACTAACTCCACCCTGCAGCAACCACCTCAAACACACACACACACAACAACAACTTGGATTTATATAGCACCCTCCATGCCGGACGGCGTCTCAGAGAGCTTCACAGTAACGATCCCAGGAACGAGCCGCATGGAGGGGGAGGGGGAGGAGCCAGGGGGAGGAAGGTGACCATAGGTGCGGTCGAAAAGAAAAGTCTTCAGCAGAGACCTGAAAATAGGAAGAGAGGGAGCGACGGGAAGGGAGTGAGGAAGGGAGTTCCAGATTCTCGGGGCATAGTGGCACGGCCACCGAGGGTGGAACGGAGCACTCGGGGGATGAGGAGGAAGCCAGACCCGGAGGAACGAATGCAACGGGAGCTGTTTTGAGGAGAGAGGTCAGTGAAGTCGGGGGGTGCAGAGGAGTGGAGGGATTTGAAGACAAGGGTGAGGATCTTGAAGTTGATCCTCTCTGGGACAGGCAGCCGGTGCAGTCTGGCCAGGACTGGGGGGATCGGAGTTTGGTGCGGGTGAGAATGCGGGCGGCAGAGTTTTGAATAATCTGGATTTTGCAAATGGCAGTGGAGGGGAGGCCGGCGAGGAGGGAGTTTGAATAGCCCAGCCGAGGGGTGACAGCGGCTTTCAGAGAGAGGTATTGGCGGAGACGGGCGATGCGTCGGAGGTGGAAGAAAGCGGTGCTGGTGAGGGACCGGATGTGGGAGAGGAAGGATAATTGGGGGTCGAACTTGAAGCCTAGGTTGCGTACGGGTTGGGAGAGTTTTAGGGGGAGGTCGGGCAGGTGGAAGAGGTGAGAACCATGAGATTTTAGATGTTGACGAGAGCCGAAGAGTATGGCGTCCCTCTTGTCAACGTTCAGCTGAGGAAAGTTTGCGCTCATCCAGCCCCTGAGGTCTGACAGGCAGCTGACAGAACATCAGGGGTCTGGGGTTCGCAAAGAGAGGTGGAAAAATAGAGTTGGGTGTCGTCCGCATACATGTGGAAATGTACCCCATGTCTGCGGATGACATCCCCAAGAGGTAACATGTAGATCAGAAAGAGGAGGGGGCCAAGGATGGATCCTTGGGGTACCCCGCAAATAACCGGGTGAGAGCGGGAGGAGAAGCCTTTTGTGCAGATGTACTGCTGGCGGTTTGTGAGGTAGGACTCAAACTATGCAAGTGCGGTGCCACTGAGGTGGATGAAGGAGGAAAGGCGGTGGAGGAGGATGGTGTGATCGACTGTGTCGAACATGGCTGAGGCCCAGGAGGACACACACACACACACACACACAGTCAGTGACCATCTCTGTTACACACACTCTTACACACTCACACCGTCCACAGCAGTGACTTAGGGCACTCACCTATCTGGGAAGAGATTGGAGACCAGCAGGTAGTTAAGGGGTGTTTTATGCTCCATGTAGGGGCTGGTGATGAAACACACAATGAGGTCATCAAATCTCACTCTGTTGGTCTGACACGTGTGGAAACCCAATAGCGTGTTTAAGATTATCCAAACCAAACCTGTATGTCACATCTACACATGGAAATTCCCATGTCTGCAATGGGATGCACTGTCTCCCCAGGACACCCTTTGCCGACCTGTTTACAGAAAGTATCTGCCCCTCCCACCCGTCGTGTGCGTGTGAGCTCTTCCTCAACCCCCGTGTGTGAGCTCTCCCTCCCCCCCGTGTGTGTGAGTTTTCCCTCCCCCCCGTGTGTGTGTGAACACTCCCTCCCCCCCCCGTGTGTGTGTGAACCCTCCCTCCCCATGTGTGTGAGCACTCCCTCCCCCCCATGTGTGTGAGCACTCCCTCCCCCCCCACGTGTGTGAGCACTCCCTCCCCCCCATGTGTGTGAGCACTCCCTCCCGCCCCACCATGTGTGTGAGCACTCCCTCTCTCCTCCTCTGGTGTGTGTGTGTGTGTGTGTGTGTGTGAGCACTCCCTCTCTCCTTCCGTGTGTGTGTGTGTGTGTGTGTGAACAATCCCTCTCTCCTTCCGTGTGTGTGTGTGAGCACTCCCTCTCCCACCCCCTCCCGCGCACTGGTTTGGAGTGAAGTTGACAATGAGAGCTTCTCACCCATAAAGCTTCCAAGTGTGAGCAGTGGGAAATATCCGCAGAAATCCCCCACGTCTATCGTTCTCTTCCTTCACATTACGCACCAGCTTCACCTGTGAGTGACACCAGCATTAGCAGACACAACACTTACAAGAAACAGTCCGCACTCCACCACCGATATTCCCTGTGGCTCTCCACTCCACACACCCACAGGCCAGAGACACTCCCACTGACTTTACACTTATTCATTGCTGTGCTATGGGCATCTTTCTACATTGAGGCAGTGAGGTACCAGAATCTATACACCTGAAGCGAGCGAGTGAACATGAGGTGGAACATGAACACAGTGGAGAAGTGTTACTTGGCTAAACACAATCCTTCTCATGACTTGGCAAAGCAGAGCCCCTAACCTCACCTGCTCCAAGGTCAGCCCCAGACAGCTAGGAGCCTGCACCCCACCAGCTGTCTCCTTCCCCGGGGCAGCCTTGCTGTTCGGCTCCATAGTGCTTGCAGACATTGGGCGCTGGAAGAGGAAAGATCAGAGCTTCAATCTGTGGATAAAGCTGCATGAGACCACAGATCATTTACAGTGATCACCCCCCCACCACTCCCGAGGGAGAGACAAGCAGAGGCAACAACAACAACTTGGATTTATATAGCGCCCTCCACGCCGGACGGCGTCTCAGAGCGCTTTATAGTAACGGATGCCGGGACCGACCCAGGGGGAGGGGGGGGGAGGAAGGTGACCAAAGACATGGTCAAAAAGAGGCACAGGTCATCCCAATACCACTCACACATACCAAGAGACCTCCCAACCCAGCCCAGCCCTGGGGGAGAGGCCACCCAGCCCAGCCCTGGTATAGGCCCCGTGTCAAATGCAAGGCTTTATGCTTACAGTATGTTATAATATCCAGTCACACAGCCTCTGTACATATTACATGCCACTTACCTGTGGCACTCGGTGGGCCTGAGATCGGGTAGGGAAATTGAAGGAAGTCTTCATTGACTTGACGTGTCGTGCCATTGGGTTGTGACAGACAAATCCTAGCGATGGAAAAGAAACACCAAGTTTCCACTGAATAAAGCAGCCAGTGATTGGCAGAGAGAGAGCCCATTCTCCTGTCCTTTCAGACACACCTTAACTTTTCGCCCCCTTCTATACAGATACCAAGAACCCATCAGCTGAATTCAGAAGAGGAGTTTTGCCAGCTGGGAATGTTAACCCTGATGAGGCAATTCCATACACACCAGAAGCTTGGCATACAACACCACCAGGTGCCGGGAGCAGAGTGCATGTGTGCTGTCCTGGATTGGGTAATCTCTTCCCCAGGGAGGACTGCATCCTGGTTGCTCATGCCTAGGGTGCTGATACAGTGCAAAAGCCAAGGGGGGAAAAAGCACGGGAGTAAGGGGGGAGGGGAAGGAAGGCAGGGGAGTGGGGGGGAGGGGGTGGGGCGCGACTAAACAAAGAGAGTTTAAAGAAAGCCAACATAGGCAATGTTCTGCAAAATTCCTAAGATATCCTTGCAACTATTCCCCAAGAGCAGAGCGCCACATGGGGCCCCAGCCAACACCTGTGTGAGAAGGAGGTGAGAAGCCGACAGCCACAGGCTAACTGCACAATACCAGCAGTCTCTCACATATCAGCGGTTACAGAGATGACAGGACACCAGTACGGTGGATTGGAGATTGCTCAGTTGGCAAAGGCTTTCTGACATGCAAGCATTGTATTTCTCCAGTCATCGTAACAATGACACAGTTGTGGGGCGGACAGTTCATACCTTCAAAACTGTAGTAAAGACACGAATCCAGTCTCCTACATCCCAGCCAAGGTCTGGGTCCCAATAAAATACCAAACTAGCTAACCCTTGCCGGTTATTGTTCATTACAACAACCATCCAACCCGGCACTGCCCTCCCCTCCCTTCCTCATCCCACCGAAACACAGCCAAACAGGCTGCGGAGTCGTCCCTGGGTAGTGTCCGAGTCACTCACTCACCCACTAAGGTGAACATGTCAGATAACATGCTGGCTTTAATCTTCAGATCCAGAGGGGCATCACTAGTAACCAATAAAAGAGAAAGTGATTAGTGTGGACCAGCAGCTCCCCACACAGATCTCAATGTACTTCAGCTTTTACATTCTGCTTTGACCAGAAAAGCGGGGGCAATTCCTACAACTGGTCAAACGGGTTAGGAGGTCACAGAGGTCAGGGAGAACAAGACCGTGGAGGGCTTTGATAGTGAGACCCTGGATCCTGAATTGTATTCTCCTCGTGATGGGAAGCCAGTGGAATTGGGTGAGGATGGGGGTGATAGGGTCGCGGAGCCTGGTGCGAAAGAGGACACAGGCTGCAGAGTTCTGGATGAGTTCTGCAACCAATGGAGGGAAGAGTTGGGGAGGCCAACAAGCAGGGAATTTTCATAGTCAAACCTGGATTTTATGAATGCGCGCATGAGAGTCTCGGCAGCCTGTTCGTATGAGACAGTGGGAGTTGGGTGATGTTGTGGAGATGGGGGAAGGCAGAGCGGGTCATGGCACGAATGTGGGGTAGAAAGGACAGTTGAGGATCGAAAAAGACGCCAAGGTCCAGACTGGCTTAGTAAGGTGGATGGTGATGCTGCCAGTGCCTCAGATGTGGAGACGCTAATGGAAGCCAAGCAGGAGCCTCGGTCTTGTTGACAATGAACTGTAGAAAGTTAGCTCTCATCCAGGGCTTGATGTCCGACAGACATTCCATCAGGACAGCAGTGGTCCTGGAGTTGAGGGTGGAGACAGAGGTAGAGTTGTGTGTCATCTGCATACATGTGGAAGTTAACCAAGGACAGAGTCGTGAGGAACGTCACATGAGACGGTGCGAGGCTAGAGGAGAAGCTGTTTGTGGAGATGAAGCGGAGGCGGTGTGAGACATACGATCTGAATCATTCAAAGACAGAACCATGAAGGTTGGATTGGGAGGAGAGGCAGTGGTTGAGGATCCAGTGGTCTACAGTACCAAAGGCAGGAGAGAGTCCATGGATGACGAGGAGCCCTGGTCGCAGATGGACAGAATGTCATTTGTCACTTTGAGCAAAGCTGCCTCTGTGCTGTGGGCAGCACGGAAATCCGATTGGAGGGGTTTGTGAAAGGAGTGGAGGAAGAGGAAGGAGCGAAGCAACAACTCGTTCCAGGACCTAGGAGAGGGAGGTTGAAGATGGTGCGGTAGTTTGAGAACAGTGATGGATCCTAGGAAGATTTTTTAAACGACAGGAGTGATGACGGACGTTTTTAAAGGGATGGGAACATTGCCAGTGGACAGTGAGAGGTTTATAATGTCTGTGAGTAGGGGACCAAGGAGATGAAGCTGGGAGGTAAGGCGGGTTATAGTGGTGGTGAGAGAGGAGGGGGAGACAAGTTTGAAGATGTGGAGGAAGTGATGGGTAGGGGCTGGAGCGTGAGGGGGAGATGGGAAGGGGGTAGTAGTTGGGCGGGCAGAGGCAGCTGAGCGGATCTCCTCCGCTTTGGTTTTGAGGAAGTCCAGCATCAGCTCGCAGTTGGCGTTGGAGGAGAGGATGGGTGAGGCGTGGCAGGGTGGGTGGAGGAGCCGGTTGGTGATGGAGAAGAGGAGCTTGGGGTTGTCCTTGGCCTCCAAGATTGTCTTGGAGTAGAAGGACGATTTGGCGGAGGCGAGGGCGGAGTGGTAAGTTTTGATAACCTTCAATTCCCTGGCTCCCCTGAAATCCAGGGTTGTTTTGAAACCCACCCGCTCCCCCTGGTACAACAGTCATCTCCGTTCACTCAAAAGACAAACCCAGATGCTCGAGCGCAGATGGCAGAAATCCAGCCTCACAATTCACTGCCAGCTGTGACTCAAGCAACTCCTCACCCAACACCTCCCCTTTCATCCTGGAGGCAAACAACAATCCAAAGATGATGTTTTCCACTGTCCATCACCTCCTCCATGCACCCACTTAAGCCCCCTCTATCCTCACGTCAAACATCAAGTGCAAAGAGATCCTAGACGTCTTTGCCACAAAAATTGGAAACATCCATTTGGCTGCATGGTCCTCCCCCACCATGACCCCTTCCACCCCACCGTGACCATCCACACTACACTGCCTTCTCCCTCCACCATGTCTCCTGCCACTCCCCCCACTGTACACTCCTTTGCCTCCATTTATCCCTCCTCCCTCTCAACCATGATCACCTGATGAAGTTCACCACCACCCAGCTGCTGGTCACTCAACTCCCCCCTTCTCTCTCCCCTGCTGGCAGACACGGTTAACCAGTCTCTCCTCAGGCTCTGTTCCACTCCCCCTGAAAACCTTTGTCATCACACCCCTTCTCAACAAACCCATCCTCGATCTCTCTAATCTCTCACACTACCGTCCCATCTCCAACCTGCCCTTCTTTGCCAAAGTCCTAGAATGCTTTGTGCAGGTTAACTTCGCTCACACTTCTCCCTCCACGAGCCCCTGCCGTCCAGTTATCACCCTCCCACAGCACAGAGGCAGCGCTTGTCAAGGTCACAAATGACATCCTCTCTTCCTGTGACCAGGGCTCCCTCTGCCTCCTCATCCTCCTGGATCTCTCTGCGTGTTTGACACAGTCGACCACTCCATCCTCCTCCATCGGTTCTCCTCCCCCATCCACCTTAGTGGCACCGCACTCACATGGTTCGAGTCCTACTTAACCAACTGCCTCCATTTCATCTCAGCAAATGGTTTCTTCGCCCGCCCCCGCCTGGTCACCTGCGGGGTACCCCAGGGCTCTATCCTTGGCCTCTTCTTTTCCTTATCTAGATGCTCCCTTTGGGTGATGTGATCCGCGGACATGGGCACACAAATCTACTTTGCCTCCAGCACCAACTCCAGGTCCCTGATGTTCTATCAGGTTGTCTGGCAGATATCAGGGTCTGGATGAGTGTAAACTTCCAGCAGCTGAATATGGACAAGACGGAAGCCATACTCTTTGGCTCCCATCAACGTCTTCACTCCTGCAGATCTAAACTCCTCAACCTCCCTGGATTCTCCCTCAGACTCACTGAACCAATGTGCAATCTAGGCATCGGGTTCAACCCCCAACTGTGCTTCCTCCCCCACATCCAGTCCCTGACCAGGACCGCCTTCTTCCACCTCCGTCACATTGCCTGCCTCCGACCATATCTTACCCCAAATGCTGGCGAAACTTTTGTGCATGTGTTTGTCACCTCCTGCCTGAATTATTCAAAAGCTGGTCACCCCAGCTCTACCATTCACAAGATCAGCTCAATCAAAACTCTGCCACCAGCAATACTGATCCAAACTAAAAACATCTCACCACGTCTGGCCCAGATTCCACTGGCTCCCCATCACTGAGCGGATCAACTTCAAGATCCTCACTCCCGTGTTCAAATCCCTTCACTCTCTGGCACCTCCCTACCTCCGCGACCTCCTCACTCCACCATCCAGGGCCTCCTCTCGACTGGGACTGACCTCTTGCTTGTCCCTTGCAACCTCCGCCCCACCATCGGAGGTCGCGCTTTCAGCCGATACAACCCGAAACTCTGGAACTCTCTCCCTCAATCTCTCTGCCTTGTCCCCCCCCTCCCCTCTTTCAAGACCCATCTGAAAATTTTCCTGTCCGCATAGGGCCACCTCCCCCCTACCCCCAGCTCGGAGTCAGGCTCCACCACTGTTAAGTGCTCTGAGACGCTACCCTCCGTGGAGGGCGCTATATAAGTGCAAGTTGCTGTTGTTGATGAGATCCAGCCAGATCTGCCAATGGACTGTTAATAGTTAGATTTGAGTCAGGTGCATTCGGTGGCACGCTCCTGTGCCTTGAAGGAGCCGAGGTGGCTGGTGTACTAGGGTGACTTCCATATGTAGGAGGCAGGAAGTGAGGAGGGGAGTTCAGGTGACTCCAAGGCAACAGAGCAGGGGAGATTTTTTTCCAGGGGCGGTAGAAGATGGAGGTAGATTGGGTGGCAGTGGGGAGCGTGATTGAGGAGTTAAGTGAGATGAAGCAATGGTCCGAGATGGCTTAGTTGGGGATGGTAAGATCCAAGACATTGAGGCCCCGAGTAAACACCAGGTCAAGCGGGTGGCCATGCACGTGGGTGGCAGAATGGATGTGGACGGAGAGGTTGTAAGAGAGGAGAAGCCAGCGGAGATGGAGCAAGAAGGAGTGAAGGGCAGGTTGAAGTAGTCCTAGGATGAGGAAGAGTTCGGAGCAGAGGTAATTAAGTGATTTGAATGCCAGGTTAGGGAACATGAAGTCAGTACAGGTGAAGAGGTGAAGAAAATCGGCAAGAGGAAAAAAAGAGAACAATCTTCTATTATCTAAGCCATTCTGTGGGGGTATATTATCATACTGTGGAGATTATATTATCAGGTCCATGATGTGGGGGTTATATTATCAGGTCCATGATGTGGGGATTATATTATCAGGTCCATGATGTGGAGGGTATATTATCAACGCTATTCTGTGAGGAGTATATTATCAGGGCTACGCTGTGAGGAGTATATTATCAGGGCTACGCTGTGAGGAGTATATTATCAGAGCCATGCTGTGAGAGTATATTATCAGGGCTACGCTGTGAGGGATATATTATCAGGGCCATGCTGTGGGGGGTATTTTATTAGAGCCATGCTGTGGGAGATACATTATCAGGGCCATGCTGTGGGGGTATATTATCAGGGTCACACTGTGGGGTGTGTATTATCAGGGGAATTCAGTGGTGAGTATATTATCAGCTCCATGATGTCGAGGGTATATTATCAGGGCCATGCTGTGGGGGTATATTATCAGGGCCACACTGTGGGGAGTGTATTATCAGGGCCGCGCTGTGGGGAGTATATTATCAGGGCCATGCTTTGGGGGGTATATTATCAGGGCCATGCTTTGGGGGGTATATTATCAGGGCCATGCTTTGGGGGGTATATTATCAGAAACATGCTATGGGGGTATATTATCAGGGCCATGCTGTGGGGGGTATAGTAGCAGGGTCATGCTGTGGGGGGTATAGTAGCAGGGCCATGCTGTGGGGGGTATAGTAGCAGGGCCATGCTGTGGGGGGTATAGTAGCAGGACCATGCTGTGGGGGGTATAGTAGCAGGACCATGCTGTGGGGGGTATAGTAGCAGGGCCGTGCTGTGAGGGTGTATTATCAGAGCCTTGCTGTGGGGATTATATTATCAGGGCCATACTATAGGGTATATTATCAGGGCTTTGCTGTGCGGGTATATAATCAGGGCCATGCTATGGTGTGGGTGGTATATTATCAGGGCCTTGCTGTGGGGAGTATATTATCAGGGCCTTGCTGTGGGGAGTATATTATCAGGGCCTTGCTGTGAGGGATGTATTATCAGAGCCATGTTATGAGGGTATAATATCAGAGTCATGCTGTGGGGTATATGATCAGCTCCATACTGTGGGAATATATAATCAGGGCCATGCTGTGTGGGGTATATTATCAGGGCCACATTGTGGGGGGTATATTATCAGCACCATGCTGTGGTGGTATATTATCAGAGCCATACTGTGGGGGTTTATTATCAGAGCCATACTGTGGGGGTATATTATCAGAGCCATGCTGTGGTGGTATATTATCAGGGCCATGCTGTGGTGGTATATTATCAGGGCCATACTGTGGGGGGTATATTATCAGGGCCATACTGTGGGGGGTATATTATCAGGGCCATACTGTGGGGGGTATATTATCAGGGCCATGCTGTGAGGGTGGTAATGGCAATCAGCCTATCGCTGGGACTCACCAAGCAAGTGACGGGGACAGATTGACCTCCAGCAGCCACGGTTTCATGCTTGAGTCAACCAAGACATCGAAGCCATAAAGCTCTGTTGAAATACAAATCATAGTTCTGTGAAGTACGAGGGACATAACATACATGAAGGCTTCCATTGCTCAGGGACTCAGGGGACATCTCCTGCTCAATCAACCCAGCTGCAGCTCTTGGCAGCCACAGCACCATCACCCCGGGGGAGCCAGACCCCACCTACCATGACTCCAGATCCAAGCCCCGTGCCACCCACCTTGGGAGCAATGATTAGATAAGTTGGAGCTCTTCACTTGGAGATGTCTCAGACAGTATCTAATATAGGGATCTACAAGATTCTAAATGGGATTGAGAAAGTGATCCTGAAACACTACTTTCCGGTATTGCCGAGGTACAAACATAAATACAAATTTATATTCTTATTCCTTTTCATCTCGGGAGCACAACAACAACAACAACAACAACAAAATTACCTGTGTAAAGCGTCTTTCACGTCGGGAGGATGTCCCAAGGTGCTGGATAGAGTTACGGACCCGAGCTGGGGGTCAGGGTGGGGTAGGTGGAGGACAGTGGGGGAAGCAGGGAGATTTAAAGCACGGTCGAAGAGGAGGGTCTTGAGGTGGGTCTTGAAAGTGGCGAGGGAGGGGGCGAGGCGGAGGGACTGTGGGATGAAGTTACAGAGGATGGGGGCAGGCCCGCCAATAGTGGGGTGAGCAAGGCGGGGGACGTGAAGCAAGCCAGAGTCCGCTGAGCAGAGGGAATGAACAGGATGGTAGGGGGTTAGGGTGGTAGGAGAGGTAGGGGGGGGAGCAAGACCATGAAGGGCTTTGAAGGTAAGGACCAGGATCTTGAACTGTATCCTCTGTGTGATGGGAAGCCAGTGGAGTCGGGCCAGGATGGGGGTGATAGGGTCACGGAGTTTGGTGCGGGAGAGAACACGGAATGAGTTCTGGACGATCTGCAGCCTGTGGAAGGAGGGGTTGGGGAGGCTGATAAGCAATGAGTTTGCATAGTTGATCCTCGAAGTAATGAAGGCGTGTAAGAGGGTCTCAGGGGCCTGTGGTGTGAGACAGTGCAGATTCGGGTGACCTTGCGGAGGTGGGGTAAGGCAGAGAGCGGGTCATAGCGCAGAAAGGATAGTTGAGGGTCAAACAAAACCCCAAGGTTCCGGACTGGTAGGGAGCAGGACAAGAGGGTACAGATCAGGGATGTGAAAGACAGATACCAGGAAGAGTGTCACCTTGCTAAGCCAGTCTGGAATCTTGGTGGCTTATTTGACCCTCAACTATCCTTTCTATCCAACATTTGCGCCATGACCCACTCTGTCTTCCCCCATGCCTCAACATCGCCCGGCTCTGCCATTGTCTCATACCGCAGACCGCCGAAACCCTCATACATGCATTCATAACATCCAGGCTTATGCAAACTCCTTGCTTCTCAGCCTCCCCAGCTCCTCTCTCCATAGACATAATATAATAATAATTCTTGCATTTGATATAGCACTTTTCACGTCGAGAGGACGTCCCAAAGCACTTCACAGAACACACTGTAAAGTGAATTGACTGCAATAATAATAATAATAATAATAATCCTTGCATTTGATATAGCGCTTTTCACGTCGGGAGGACGTCCCAAAGCGCTTCACAGAACACACTGTAAAGTGAATTGACTGTATATTTGTGGGCGAACGCGGCAGCCAATTGCGCACAGCAATGTCCCACAAACAGTCGTAGATTGAAAATGACCAATTTATTATTGTTTTTGGTTTTGGAGGGATTATTATTAGGCTCTGTGTGGAGTAAGGAAACTTGCCCAAGGCTTCGCCCTCTGCCTGGAATTGAACTCAGGTCTCTCACTTGCAAAGCGAGTGCTCTAACCACTGAGCTACAGGACTGTATATTTGTGGGCGAACGCGGCAGCCAATTGCACACAGCAATGTCCCACAAACAGTCGTAGATTGAAAATGACCAATTTATTATTGTTTTTTGTTTTGGAGGGATTATTATTAGGCTCTGTGTGGAGTAAGGAAACTTGCCCAAGGTTTCACCCTGAGCTGGAATTGAACTCAGGTCTCTCACTTGCAAAGGGAGTGCTCTAATCACTGAGCTACAGGACTCCACATAGACTGTAGATCATCTAGAACTCTCGCGCACTAAGCTCCATGACCCTTTCACTCCCATCCTCACCTGACTCCACTGGCTTCCCATCACACAGAGGTTACAGTTCAAGATCCTGGTCCTCACCTTCGAAGCCCTCCACGGTCTTTCTCCCCACTACCTCTACGACCACCTAATCCCCTACCATCCTGCTCGCTCCGTCCACTCAGCGGGCTCCAGCCGGCTTCACATCCCCCGCATCACTCGCCCCGCCATTGGCAAGCGGGCCTTCTGTCACTCCGCCTTGCCTCCTTCCTTGCCTCCTTCAAGACTCATCTGAAGACCCTCCTCTTTGACTGTGCGTTTGATCTCCCTGCTTCCCCCCCTGCCCTCCACCCTTCACAATCCCGACCCCCAACTCGGGTCCGAAACTCTGACTGGGCAGCGTCTTGCGACATCCTCCCGAAGTGAAAGGCACTATACACATATAATTTGTTGTTTTTGTTGTTGTTGTCTTTACACAGAGCTACGACAAACAACAAATGAAACAGTTGTCGTGAAGGTGGTTGAGGGCAGGACCCAGAACATTTAAGTAACAGCTTAATAATGGGAGGCTGGGTATTCTGGAAAGTTCATATCAAATGGATCCAAACATCTTGTGATCTGGACTGTAACTCTTGATTCCACCCTTTTTCTTTACTAGTTCCTCTTCCCTGGCTTCAGCTTGTGTTACATCCCATTTAACCCTCAGCTCTGTTCTCCACTCTGGCTCCAGGCTCGCAGTGCATAGCCAGCAGCTGAGATCATTCTTGCAGATGCATTCACTCCGTTGCCAATGTAGTTATCACATCACAATAACAAGAAGATGCACTGCATCCACCACTAGTGTAAAAATGACTACAGCACTCGCTTATAATCACTGACTACTGGACTAACTGGAACTGAAATTGCTGAGAATGAAACAACAATGAAGAAGCTCCAAACAAATTCTCCATTTCACAGGCAAACAACCATAAACGCAAGTAAAACGTTGTAAAGCATGAAGCTGTCCTGAAGTCAGACACTTTTAGATAAATGTGTAGGCTCTAATGAGTTTATTTATTTAGGTCAGGAAGTTCCTTTCTGATATTTTCAACCCACCCGGGGGAGCCATGGGCGTAACCTATAAGCTGTCTCTGCACAGCGTTAGCTCAAGATAAAGTCTTTAAAAGCTTGACCTCATTCAGCCTCGTAACTGAACAGTGATTTCTTTAATACCTTCTCTGAGGAGAGAAGGAAGTGGCGTTCAGACCCACCACTTTGAAGCTATTGCTAACTTCGCTCATTCATAAGGTGCGGCACATCATGACAATCTCCCTTTTGTTGCAACCCATTCCAAACACAGGGAGTTCAGTCTCTTCAGAACAGAAGAGCAGAGCAGAGACACCAGCAAACTCCATGCCCTGGGTTTCAGCACAGTGACCGACTGCTTTGCCCCATTCCTGGAGGTTCAGCAAGCAGCTCTATGTGCCTCCCCACACAGCTCTCAATACGCCACTTCACAGGCTCTTTAAACAGGCTCCCCTCAAGCCGCCTTGTGCTGCCAACTCAGCCAGCTGAAAGCTTTTTGGAAAGCTCAGTCCCTCACTTGAGTTTGGCGCCAGCGAGGCCCAGGCAAGCCCATCGTCCAGCTTGGGAGGAGGTGAAACAATAAACCTCTTATCCCAGCCCAGATTCCTTAAAGCAAACATATGCACTCTCTCCCACCCCCCATCACCACCACCACTATTGAGCACACTCCACCTCTCCACAAGGGCTGCCAATGCGAATGTAAAGCTGGCGTAAAAATCTCATGAATTGATTCAAAGGAGCACTTTAAGCCCTGCTAGCTCTCATTAGGGCACGTGTGGCACAAGCCCTGGCTGTCGGGACACATGGTCACAGCTCTACATTGAGACATTGTCAACCAGTTATTGGAATGATATAATCCTTGCATTTGATATTGTGTTGATAAAGGTAAAACCAGGAATTGCTGTGGAGTTTTGTAGCTCAGTGGTAAGAGCGCTTGCATCGCAAGCGAGAGACCTGGATCGATTCCCAGGCAGGGTGAAACGTTGGGTAAGTTTCTTCACTCCACACACCTCTGTTTGCCTGCCTAATAGTCACAACATTGAGAGAAACATCTGAATCTTCTTTAATCAGATCACAGGATGATTAACATCTCCCGATCTGGTAGGCGGGCCTCGGTTTAACAATTTCCACTTGCACAGTGCCTTTCATTTAGGGAAAATGTCTCTTGACAGTGGGTGGAAGTGGCCAAACACAGAGTCACAGACATTGGGGTTTAGATATTTTTTAATGCCGAGAGGGAGGATCTGTGGATGGAGGGAACGTGTAGAGAAGACAAGCCTGGGGTTACCTTTATCACAACGTCACATCTGAAGGATGGATCCTCTGACAATCTCCTCCCCACCCCCTGCCCATATTGGAGGGTCAGCATGAACACCCCACAGACAGCATGAAATCCACAACCTTCTGCCCCGAAACTGAGACTGCTATGAACTGAATCAGGCAGACACGATGCAGAGAAAGACAGTTCCTAAGCCTGTAACTGAAGCTGGGAAGATCTACAGATCTCAGTCTGCTTCCAACCTCAGCACCTTTCATCAAACAAAAAGATCCAATGAAATGCCTATGACAGTGTGGAATTGAGAGGTTTATCAGAGAGTTAGCAAGCACATGTTACGTCTCCATAACCAGTGTGCATGTAATAAAACATCTCCACACCAGGGCAAAGAGCTCAGTCTTAAGTAATGACAGGTACTGCAGGCTTCAAACAACAGAGCAACTATCACAATAACACCGAGGACACACCACAGTGAGTTCAGAGGCACAGAATCAGACTGGAGCAAAACAATAACAGTTTGCACTTACATAATGCAAATTATATCATGTGGACTGGCATCTCAGAGGCTTAACACACCAT